GCTTAAATAGAACACATATATAACCAATTACTGTAGGTAATAAGTTGAGGAATAACAAAAGATCAAGTTAGGATTAATAGAAGTTAGAAGCTGTGGAGCTGAAATTGATATTCTGACAGATGAGCAGAGAAAAGGTTATAAAGAAAAAATACAGAACATTTATTAATTTTGAAATCCACGTAAATACAAAAATAAAATACTTTAAAATAATAATAAAACATCAAGTAAATATAACAACTTTAAGTTTAATCGTAGTGTATTATGTAAGGAACCTGTATGCGTAAGCCAGTCGCTGCTGTGTCGTGGAATAAGATTGACGAGTGATCTTGGTACGATGAAAAATGTGGATATTTAGGATAGAAATAGAAAGAAAAGCTCACAAAATACGAGGCCCTAATGGTTCATGCTCCTAGCTTTCAGATGAATGTATTTTGACAATACAATTTTGACAGTAGCGGTTAATTAACTTGCTGAAAACCGTGACCAAAAATTAGAACATACAACAGACTATAACTTGTCATTTTATTACTTTAAGATACTAAGCACAGATAATAAAAGTAGATGTACTCTCCATGTAAAAATATATCTAGAGCACTTAACGACACACACGTTGAAATGTAAAAATTAGAGAAAAATACTTTATTCAGTTCCAAGGTTAAGTTGTTCAATATCTAACACTTTCTAATTGAAACTGTATTCAATAATGTGCGAATGTCATGTATAATCTGAATAATTGCGCGATATGTTGGACAAAAAGTAACGTGTTTGTGTGGGGATTAGTATTACAAGTAGTTTACGACATGTACTACAAGAAGTTTAGATGAATGATGTTAGGTATTGAAAAATACTTGATAAATTACACTAGGACCTGCGTATTCGTGTGTAATCAAGTGCAGAATTTAACTTTTAATTTAACTTATTAATGGAGGGCTTGTTTTTGCTTTTCCAGATATCTGAAGAGTATATATTATACATAATGGTTAAAAGTATATGTATTTTAATACATATATCAATCTATGAACATTATGATCTCAATTGCATATCTAAGTCAAACTTATATATTGTAAATGTGTCTAAAACATAAAAATAATATTCACCCTCATATTCATTGTTGTGTTCCTCACAATCTGTATCAAGGACTGCCTCGAGCTTTCAAACACGTCTGAGAATGAGAAGTGTTATTCTCTAAAGATCTTCCAGGATCTTTAAGGATTTTAGTGGAGTTTTGTCTCTAAACTATTTGATTAAAATCAAAGCTTTGCTTCATGTTTATTAATTATAGATATTCAAAGAAAACAAATCTAACTTTATGGTTCTTTCTTATTTTTTATTTTCTGGTTGGTCCTAAACATTTACAGTGCATAATGTGATCATGATTTTGTTTATTAGCAACAGCCAGTAATATAGTATTTCAAAATTTGTGTTCCCAGTGCCATATAGCTGAATCACCCCAATTATTATTCTGTATATAACAGGTATATTTATAGCAATACAAGTTCAACGCACAAAGAAAAATGTCCACAGACAATATAAATCCATCCTATCGTTTTACGAGAGAGCTGGGGCCTGTCACAGCTCCATCACGATCAACGTTTTACCATCCGTCCAGTAGGATACATAGGCTACGGGAGTGGCTGAACCATTATTTGTTTCCCAAGAAAAGTTGCTGTTCGAAAACCGAAAACGATATTTCTGTTCAGTGGTTCTGTCTTCCAATAGACTGTGGAAGAAAGAAAAGAGAGTCAAGATATTGTACGTTTTTGTCTTCTAATGATTTTTTTATTGAATACTAGAGATATACAACGTGTATATATGTTACACTAGAATACTATAAGATATATTTTAAGTTATCATATGCACAAAAATCATAATAAATTATATTAAGATCAGAAGAACGATGTCTTGCTAATAAAAGTTTAATACTTTATGACAAATAAATTTGAATAATAAATATGTAATAGAAATAAGACATATACTTCTAAAAAGGCTTTCTTATCTATGGTTGATAGACAAAAAAAAACAGTCAAAATTTTAAGTTTGTGCTTTTCGTTATGTGATTTAATATAATTGTTTTTGT